ACCTGCCTATCAATTATCTTAGCCCCCTAACCTGATTATCCTGGCTGCTATTTCAAAATTCCCCGAATAATGGATTGTCCTGCTGAGTATTTGACAAGGTTTAAGAACTACCACAAATTAATATAATTATTAATCGAAAGGAGTTCAAGTGTTTGGGGATAACTTCTTAAAGTCACACCTGCCCTTTTACAGATACACAGCAAACTTCTACTTACATGGTTCCTAAAGGTTAATATATAAAGGAAAAATACTGCAAAGGAAATGTACCACAAGGATTAACGGAACAGCAGTTGGCTGCTCTAGCACCTCCACAAAAATCCACCAACTTCTGTTGCCTTTGTTTTATAGAAATTAATTACATCACGTATGTGATACTGGAATATGGAAAAGCACTTGTGGAACTGTAAACTAGTTTACAAGCAAAATAAACACACATATGAAATACAGCATTATGCATGATTTTGCAGGATTTCAGATGACCCAGCCGTACTGGTGATGTCCTATTTAGAATAAGCTCCTCGATGGGTGGTGGAAGCTGTGTTCACTGCTTAGCTCCAAACCACCCGGTGGCGCGGCAGCTGTCCTGCCCCGGTCCCCACGGCCCCTTACCCGCGCTCTCTTACAACAAATGTCCGTGCTAGGAGTTGTGGAGGTGTTTCTGCACGGGGAGGGACTCTAACCCACAGGGTCACCTCCACCGTCACGTCCTGAAAGCCTGGCGGCACTTCCCGGAGGTGCAGGACCCTCCACAGCAGGGAGGGGAGAAGACCTGCGGCAAGGCGGCACGCCAGAACGGGCGTTCCCGCAGGGCGGCCTACGGCTTTGCAACGGCTTTCTCACTCTGCTAATTGCAATTAATGGAGGTGCAGCAGCAGCACACACCTTTAGTACACCATTGGATAGACCCAGACCTTACTGGCTTACTAGCACAGCTTTGCATTCCCAAAGCTTGCTCTGTCCAAAGGAGTAATTTTGACCCACTCAGGGGGGAAAAGAAAAAAAAAAAAAAAAAAAAAGCCTGTCATGTTCTTCTTTGGAAAGACATGAATCTGCAAGTTCATGCTGTATTTAGTAGTTCTGAAAATAATAAAAGCAATGAAAAAATGTAACCTATACTAGCATCAATTACAACTTTTTGGGCAAGCTACTCTTTCATGGCAAGGCAACGTAAGCTACTGACACAAAGTGTGTCCCAAAATTTTGTCTACTAAGACATCCAAAATGCAGTCATCACAACTATTAATGCCTCTTCCCTCCCTCCCCCAAAAGGTATTACTTTTTTGGGGAATACTTAGCTGCCTCTTAAAAACGCTTTATAAATACTATTTTTTAATACAAAGAATGCCATTTCAGGCAAATTGAAGAATTTTCATTTCTAAATTAAAGTGAAACAATCTTTTTCAGCTTAAAACTGTTCATTGTATGAAAATCAATTTGTGAATAGCTTTAGTATGTCCAAAACAACTATTTTCTTCAAAGAGTCTCCTTGCAGAGAAACCTTACCACAAGTTGTGGGAACAACCTATTTTCCAATAGGTTCTCATGACTATAGTATTCGAACATACACATTTGTGTTGGCTGCCGTTGTCACTGGCCAAGGGACACGGAAACATTTCATCTTTATGGAAAAAAGTCCTGAAACACTTGGGAGCAACCGACTGCTTCTTGCTATACTAAATGGTGTATTACTATAATAGTAACTTATGATATTTAATGACAAAAAATACCTATTCAGAAAGCCATGGACAACGTGGGGGAAAAGTCTCACTTTCAGTCTTGTGTTTCAAGCAAGACATGAAGTTGTCCTCTTAAAGACAACTCCACAGAAAATCCTTAAAAGACATATAAAAAATTAGAAGCCCTCTGTGCTTCTTAGTTCAGCTGATCTGCTCAATGCTAAGATACTCAAATAGCTGCAAATGAAAACCACGAAAGCAATTTCCAACTAGGAAAGGACACGTTGGTGCTCTTGATGACGCTAGGAAGTCCTGCCGGGCAATGACTACGCTGCAATGGAGGCCAGATTCCAGCTGTGACGCCTTCGTGTCCTCCCCACGCAGACCACGTGGGAACTTCCAGCACTGTGAGTTCAAGACAGTCGCTGAAGCTTTCGCGTGACCAATTCACCTACACATTTCAGTTGTGTGTGGCCATTCAGACCTCGGGATAAGCAAGTGCCACACGCACCGAAATCTAGCTAATCCAGACTTGCAGAATTTTCTATTCTAGTTTGGCAGACTGAACAGAATGTAAAATGGTGAAACCGTACGAAGCTCGAAAAGAGAAAGGGCATTCAGAGCTGCTAAGCTAGGTATCTGTAGTTTGGCCTAGAGAGAGGAAGCCAGAGAAATGCAAGTGTCAATGAAGCGAAGATATAGACACAGGAAAAGCTCAGAATGGCATTTACAGATTCACACACAGAGACATGATCCACAGGTTGTTAAGGACACTATAAAAAGGGATTTAAAGGAGAAGAGCAGTAAGCTTCCCCAGAGGAGCTTATTACTAACCTACTTCTAACAGTCTTTCACGTGGCGTTAAGAATGACGATGAGGTGTGCTGAATGGTGAAGGGCAAGGGAGGCGTGGGTGGTGACCGGGGTACTTCTCCCACTGCCCGCCAGCGACTGAGGGACGGTTCATGCCCGGCTCTCTATGCGCTTCTCTTTGGATGCACACGTGGAACTAAACTTTCAGAAGCAGGTCTGTACACAATCGGGCAACTTGTGCAAAGACAAATGTAGGTTAAGAGATTAGAGAAATTTCCTTTCCTCTGCCTCCCTGAATGACTGCCGCTGTACAAGAAGGGTATTGCTTTTGATTCACAAATTTGCCAGTTTACAGCTTTTTCACTGCATGAGATCTAATGACCAAATGACTAACTTGCAGGAAAGAAAGGTCACTCCCAAACCACACAGGTCGGAAAGGCCACTTGAAGACGAGTCTGTACAATTTTTCACTTCTGGGAAACTTAAGAAAGATGAAGAAAGCGATTTGCCTTCTGTGCTGAATACAGTTACCTAGGGAACAGAAACCAACGCTGAGAATTAGCCATGGAAGTTAGCACTAAGGTGTTGGTTTTCCCTAGATTCAGAATAGGAACTAGTGCAGTAGGTGGTAGTAACGCTTTATTAGTAGCTACCTTTACCTCCTGTTTCAGCAGTTACGAACAGCTAAGGATTTGGACTATTTAAAAATGTAAACATTACAGAATTTTCCCTTAACTAGTTTCTCTACCACATCTTAAAAGTGAACTAACAGAAGGGCTTAAGTCAAAGGGAGATGAGGTGTATGATTTTAATAAACATTTTTCTTATTAAAATCTTGATATAGTTTAAATATACCATACAGAGGAAAAAAGCTATTTATAAAGCTACATACACATTTCAAGTCAATGACGACAGCATAAATCATTCTAGATTCCCTCTCCACTTATCAGAATACCTTGTGTGTGTATATATGGTGAGCTACTGTGAGTTATCTGCATTATTTTTGTCTAGCTATACATTACAGGACTTAAAAAAATGTTTAAGCTATATACAGAAATATATATACATATAACATATATTTATATGTTATACATACACATACACTTATATACATATACACACAATACATATATATATATACACACAGTATTTTACATTTATATATGGCCTTTCATCCAAGGGCCTTGGATACTTTGTAATACATCAAGTCTCACAAAGCTTTGTGAGGGAGGGAGCTTTATTTTACAGACTGTAGATTTGATGCCTATTCTAAACAGTTTCTGTTGTTGCTTTCTACTAACTTTACACATTTCAGTTAGAGGCATTTTTGGTAGTGGAAGTAATTACACCAGTTAGAATCCAGGCATAAAGTATATGTTGCTTTGTACCTTTGCAACTATCCTCCTATGAGAACAGCCATACCAGTATAAATTTTCTCTATGCTAATACACCTATATCTAGACTTGTGTAGCTGTACTGCTTTTTATTTTTCATTGATACTAGCATAGTAAAGTCTGATACAGTTTTGAACTTAAGATACTCTGGAGGTCACAACAAGAAATCCAGAACAGACTCCAATCCTCCTACATTGAAACTATCCTTTTCTAGGATGATTGATTTAGGAAGTATTAGTACCTGCAGAAATAATTCTACATCTGTTTACTTGTTTTATCTGCAGTTTAACTACACAAGCCTAAACCAGTCACCCTTATTGAGAAAACAACAGTTTGGCAACTGGTGATCAGAATTTCTGATTTCAACTGTCCTCCATACCTCTAGCAATTAAATCAACGATGAAAACAGAGGCTTTTTTGAAAATCACAGCTGTAGATAACTTCTGGTCATCCTCAACTAGCTGACAGAAAGGAAAACCCAGTGGAGCTCTGGCAAAAATGAATTCCACTCAGATTTTGACGGAACGTTAGTTTAGCTCTTCCCAACAAAAGGAAGGAAAAAAACCCCAGAACACTAACATGGACTGAAGGTTTGGAGAAGCAAGAAAGAGGGAGAACATCACCACCACAAAAAGCTCTTAACCTTCAATACTTCAGCCTGCTAAGCTTTCAGAAATTTGTTCTGACACAGAAGTAGCTCCTCCTTCCTTTATTAATCACTTCCTAACTCTCAAAAAATCTTTCAAGCATTAGGGAAGAACAAGTCCTAGGTTACGGTCAAAGACTGCCCTCCCCAAAAGCAACCAACGACTTTAAAAGTGAACATACAGTAGAACCCACTACAATGCAGTTTGAGAATTTTATGCTAACCTAATTACCTTGAGATTTTTCAGAACAAGCCACTTTCCCTTCAAACCAATTCTGTGAAAAGAAGGGGTTGCCTGGCCTGTTTCATTCAGGATTCTCTGCTAACTGTAAAATGTGGGCTGAATGTCTTCTGCAGGTCAATTTTTCAGTTACAAAATTCAGATTTTTAATGAACAACTATGTTTAGTGTATGCCGTTAGCTGAAGTAGAAATGGCTAAATAAATAAAAACTATTGTTTCTTCAGTATGACTTGGTATTTTGTCTGTAATTTCTTTATTAAAAAACTGTAACAAGATACTTAAAAAAAGGCTAGATACAAAAGAAGTTAAGCTGCTCACGAACATTAAAGTTTTCCAAAATGTATCTTCAATAATCATGATCTTATAAACATTTTACAGTTACCAGAAAGTGCCCAGGCTGAGTTTACATAGTTAGATAACGTAGTACAAGTTTCAGGTTAGAACTAGTAGTGGAACAATCTCCTGACTGTCTGTTCACTGAAACAGGGATACAAAAATGTTGATTGTGAACTATGAAATACTGTGCATTGGCCTCATCATATGTACAAAAAAAAAACCAAAAACCCAACCAAAACCCGAAAAACACTAAAGGTACAGATTACATGCAAAATATTAGTGACGGTATCTGATGCGCCAGAGTTCAATGCAATCGGAACAAAAATTGCAATGAAAGTGGTTTCATAAGTGAACGATCCCAACTCTGGGATCTGAGCTGTCAGGAACTTTTTACAAGTTCAATATACATGATACACAACTGCAGCCAACCACAAATTAAACACCATAAGAAAAGTTAAAATAAAACACAGAACATACTTAATTTTTTATTTTGAAATTCCCTACTCCCTCTATACAAGAACCTTTGCTGAAACACTTTCCACAAAGGCAGCAGTGAATTTTCTGAACATTTTACATATTTTCCCTCAGCAAAAAGATAAATCACAGTGTAAATTATATTGTTCTGCTGTCATCTTTGGCTGGGGTTAGGCAAAGGAATTATTGACTAGCAAACTGTTGCAATCAGATATTGCCAGTGCTCCTTAGGCCTTTACGTTACAAATTTAGTACAGGAATGTTTGCATTTAAATCTTTAAAGTACCACCAGGGGTATGACAGCATTAACTTTCATAAACTTTTATAGACAAATGGAAAAATCTACAAAACTTAGCTAGTAATATTACACAGCAATACACACTTTTTATACTCTACACAAAACCAAAATTCTTGGTCTTAATGGCGAGTAACAATTTCTGTTTCAAAATCTGCTTAGAGGAATAGAGTGGGACATAAAGGCGAGAAATACAAGTGTTTGCTGTAGGAAGATGTTGGTCATCTGGTGGTCTTATTGTGATTGATGGCATAGGCTGGAATCCCTCCTCACTGGCAGGCAATGATGGACTTGAGGTCCAAAAGTAAACCTGAAAAAAGAAGATGGCATTTAAAATTTTGCTGTACAAGGCTAAAATTCATAATGCCTACGTGTTGTGTAGGGACAGGTTAAAGAAGAACTGCACAGTCACAGAAAGTTTGATCATACTATATTCTGTTCACTAGGCCAACTAAACTCAATGGTCACGCTACATGCTTGTGTAGTAGCTTCCTTCACTTCCTTTCCTCAACTGCTCATTATATTATATACTTCTGTTAAAAACTGGTAAAAGCAGCACTCAAAATGATCCTGTATCAACAAATCCTCAGTAAATGAGATGTCCCCAAATCTATCTTGGAAGACGGTGACTGCCATCAATACAAAATGCATCAGAAATCTCTCACAAACCAGTTGGTGACTACACAATATAGTATTTGCACAAGAAAAAGGCAGCAACAGTGAATATTTGGTTTATTATCTCAAGTGTGAAATACTGACTTGCAGAGCAGAGTCACTACCAAAGTGTAACCATAGATATTTCTTAACAAATATACTCTGCATTTTCTGCTTTTCAGATTAGTCCTTGTTTCCTTTTAGCAAACCGTAAAGGAAAGATAGTACCTTCAGTAGTAGAATGTGAAAAAAGAATAGTTTTAAGAAGCATACAAGGAACACAATTTACAGGCAAATTTTCCAAAATGAAACCTCCTGAACAGTTCTTTCATGTTTCTCATCAGCTATTCCTAAAGGGCTTTGAGAAGGAGATGGTATCATTACTGTTTCTCACGGAGAGGACACAGATGTTGCCCTCAGGACACACAGAAGCCATGATCCAGGAAGAGAACTCAACCTCAAGCCCTACTAGCCCACAACAGTTGACTAACCACAGTTACACAGCTTAAGAACAACTGCACAGAGATTGTAACTGTGCTTCCAGAAGAGACCTGGGAATGTGGGTAACGACACACCACGCTTACTTTCAGTTACGGGAAGGTCTAGGATTCACACCTGATGATTCCAGAACTGAAAGTCTAATCAAACCCTACTACCCTGCTATGCTACTTTAACTCTTCACATACAAAGTCTCTGCAGGTGGACACAGTTAAAAACAGTAAGGATGCCAAAGTTATCCCAGTTCTTCTGCATGTTTCCACTGGGAATGGACAACTTACTAGATCTTGTCTTTCTGTCATACTCATCTTCTCAACTATGGACCAAAACCAACGCTTGAATTGCAAAAGCTTCTCAGCATTTTCTCCTGTGTGAAATAAAAAAAAAAAGATATATAATTCAGCTGGTACAATAAATATTAAGAGGTTTGTTTTACATGTACTGCAAATTGGATCTCAGCTACAATCTCATTCATAAAGTCCTGATATTGGAGACACCAGTAATTTCAAAACTAATACACATACTTCTGAATGAAAAGATTAAGTCTGACATACCTCAGTACAACTCCCACCCTCTCCCTCCCCAAAAGACTAACAACAGCTAAATATAGTTTAAAAATTATGTAAGAAATATTAGACTGCCTTAATCACATTTATATTTCTAAAGTCAGGTCAGAACTTTCAGAAGGAAAGATATGCTACCAATAATGCAATCCTTCTACTTAACATCAAGTGACAGCAAAGTTGGTAAATGTGCTTCCCCCCAGCTGAAGGTAAACATTTTCAAAGGTACGTAAAAAACATAGTAATAATTTTATCAGGACTTTCAGTGACTTATTAACTGATGTCAAATTAGAAAGGGCAGTTTAAGTTTAATGCTGGTAACTCTGCAGAGAAACAAAGAGAGACTCTACACAGAACAAACAGTGTTAAGTTACCCTTGCAACTCTGTTTCTGAATGACCAAGTTATTTCATACCTGACTCATCATTGAAAGAGGTAAAGCTGATTAGCATTTGCACATTTACTTCACCACAGCCATTTACCAAAAGCCTGAAATCTTCTGCTGTCAAATCTTCTAATGAATTCTTTGGAAGTACATCCAGGAGACCCTTCCTCATTGCCTTAAGTGAAAATCACAAGATTGACATTATAGCCTATCACTTTCAGATTGACTTTAAATGCATTAGTGAAAAGTTCCATGTGAAATCCCCTATTAGCTCAAAATTCATTATTCTCCTAGCTGTTCTTTTCTTTCAAAGCTTTACCATCTGAGATGCAAATACTCTGAAACAAAGAACTGCACCAATCTGTTAAACCCCACCTACTATTGCTAAAGAAAGCAGTAATGGTTTGAACTAGTATTTCACCAGGAGCAGAAGCAAACGCATTCTCTTAACGCTAAAAAGCTCAGGTATTCTGCTGAGCTACACTGAATCTGATAAGAATTATGAAAAACACATCTTGCATGTTAATTCTACATTGCTTCCTCAGACACTCACATGCCATCTCTGCTTTAAAAATGTTATACACACACATGTAAGTAAGCAATATCCTGAAAAAAATCAGAAATTCCATTTTCAAAATGGAAGGACATGAATAAATTTGTTTTAGTAAACACCAAAATTAATACAAATGTTATGGTTTTCAACTCTTAAAATAAACAAGTCAAACTATTAATACAGGCAGACATGGAGATCAAGTAGCTTAATTGCAGGAACATCTTCCTTCTGTGAGAATTTTGGACTTAAACTGCACAGAGGTAATCTAGCAATCTGCTAGCATATCTCAGAAGTGCAGCAGGAAACCACAGTCAGCAGAAATGACCAAGTTTAGATGTAATATCATATGACAGAGTAAGTGGTTCTAAGTACTGGGTTTTCATTAACTCTTTACAAAAATATATTATTCCATAACTTTTATTTAAAAAGGACTTCAAAAACCAAAGTACTTTTAATATTTTCTAGTCAATTGCTAGGTTTCTTGCCAGGCTAGTAAAATAAGAACAAAGTTCTATGTTTCATAACTGATTTTTCCTTTAAAAACAAGGACACAAGTCAGAAGTTCAAGGTGATTATGTAAATATTTTGAAATGTCTTTTTAATCTTTGTATAAAGCTAAACAAATCAAAGGTGACAGATTATTAGAACAAAATAGCTGCTAAATGCAAAGCAAAAATTGCAACAGGACACATGCCATTTGAGCTCAATAAATGAACATATATGCTTAACCAATGAGATCAAGTTTCAAAGAAATTATCTTTCTATTAAAAAAAAAGAGAAATTGCTCAAAGTACTCAGTCTTCACAGTACTGCGTTAACAGCTATACAATTACAAAAAAATTAGAAAATGAAATATTATTAATCAAGCTGTCAATACTTAAAAAAGAAACCTGAATAGCAATACCATAATCAGGAAAAGAATTAACTAACAGATTAGTCTTACAGACTTTAAAAAAACCAAAAAAACAACAACAACAAAAAAAAACAACACCCACCACCAAAGACTTACATGTAGAGGCTGTTCTGCTACTACCAACATTCGGTGTTCTGCGTATTTCCGGACATACTCATATACATTCTGAGGAGTGACTGGTATATTTACACCATTGGAAATAAGTTCAACCTACAGCAAAGTAACAAGGATCATTTAAAAAGAAGGAGGAAGGAAAAAAAAAAAGAAAAAAGGAAATGAGATTATTATAACAGCCATAGTATGCTGCACAGTGCTCAACGTATTTATTGCTCAACATCCCTCTAAAAACAAGCAAAACTCACTACTACAGGCTAGCTTTAAAGATTCCCTAGGATTGACTGTGCTATCCAAGCTTTATGGTAGACTCTACATCACCTCCAAGGTAAAAACCCCACATTTCAATGTTTAAAGGAGAACACTGTATTTGAATCTAGGAAGAGTACAACATTATCTTTGCCATTTGAGAAAAGCATGGAGTATGTGTACATTACAACATGCATAAAGTGTCAAATTCTCAAACTACAGAGACACAGGTTTAGCTGTGCTTACCTGCCCTCCACCCTCCTCCTTACACAGGTCTATTGCAAAGGCTAAGTCCATTGCTGCAAACACTGCATCAGCATCTGTACTCTGGGAAGCCAGGATAAGTTGCCGAAGGCTTTCATACATAACCGGATCAAAAAAAGCAAAGTCATGCCAGTTTACCTATTAAAAAAAAATTTTAAAAAGTTGTTTGAAACATAGCAGTTGTTTAAGAATATATTCAAAATTACACGATCTGTGCTTAATCTATGCACTAGCATATAGCAGTGCATAACCCATGTAACAAAGCATACAAACACTTGGAGATATAGGCAGTCTAACTCCTATTTTCAGCTGGCTTTTGAAGGTATATTAGAATACTCAACTGAAATGCATTAGCAGAATGTAAAGATAAACCTGCAAAGCCTTTCCTTACCCTATTAAGGGTATAGAGGTTATAAAGAAAATTTGTAGGGCTTTTTTAAACAAATTCTTCTACATACCACCTAGATCAACAGAGATTTGATGGAGCTTGACTGAAGTTGGAAACAATTTGCACCAGTGCTCCAAAATGCTGGAAGTTCCCCTCCACTTAAACACATACATACTGCTGCTATATATACACACATTTGAATGACTGATGGCCCAGTAGCTCCATATCACAGTCTGCAACAATTCAAATACCAATGTCTACTTCTTGCTGTTTTCTATAGTTCCTTGCTTCTTTGTTCTTTATCATCCTGGAGAAAAGTCATCTACAAACTAAACTAAACTAAACCTAACTAAAATATTCTTTGACATATCCAACTTTTAACTAGAAGGAATACACAGTGAAGAAGAATAAACCTGAAGAAAAGAATTAGAAGGGAATCTCTCTTGCAAGATATCGGGGGATATTTGGACACATATCTCTCTGCCATTAACCCTTTTTCATTAAAGATCATATCTATGTTGGATAACTGATTATGTGATCAACACTGTTTTTAAGGAAAGACCAGCCATAACAAACCTTGGTGTAAGTTTGTTGCACCAGACAGAACTTAGAATGCTACTGACTAATGCATGAAATGTGCAGTACATAATTAGTGTTTATTGGGGTGGGGAAGCATTTTTGCAAAAAGTTTAGGTGATGATTGCTCTGAATAAAATTATACCTACACCAGAGTCAGAATTTTAATTACAGTTCAATTCAATGAGTTCTCTCAAATACCATAGAAAATGCTTTTCGGTAAGCCGGGATGCTATTGCCTAGTACTGTGTATCTCTTTTGAGTCTTCAGTCTCAGGAAGAGAAAAAGGGGAGACAGTAAGCTGTTTCTGAAGAGAGTCAATGGCTAACCTATTACAAACCATTCCATCTTAGTCAAATACCTGAATTCTAGTACATCTACTCAGCTCAAAATCCAGGAAATAAAAAAATTAATACTCCTCAATTTAAATTTAAAGGCACCCTTGCAGTTCCAGTATCAACTGTTAAGTCAATAGATGCATGTTAGAGGAAAAAAAAGGGTTTTAAAGATGAGATTTTATGTAGTTAAAGGAAATTCAAATTTCTATGTTCAACTTACCTTTCTGCCAAGAAGAACTTTGATTACGTGTCTATTTAACGTGATGGGGCACAGTTCATTCTGCAACAAGCACAATCCTAGGATTCTGAAAATAAATGTTTGTGTTTTGTTTTGGTATGACAGAAATTACATGGGAGATCTTTCAGCAAACTCACATCAAAAAAGTCAAAATATTCTAAGAACCAAGCAGCAGCTAGCTTTCCAGCCCTATCAATCCCCAAAAGAAAATCACGGACATATATAATTTCAAAAAAATATTTCCTGCAGTATAAAACTTCCAAATTGTAAAAAAGATAAAAACAAAAATTTAACAGGAAAAGAAACCTCAAGTTGACGTGTGCACATTTTCCACTATTTAGCTCCAGGTGAGAAATACCGAGCATAAGAGTAATAAAAAAACCTTTTTGCAGCCTGGACTCTCCCTGGTATTTTGTATGTTCATCTTCTACATTGTTTCAGGCTAGAAAGCTAATAGTAGCATACCTGCCAATGTTTCTGAAACAATTCAGCCTTGCTTCTGTGTTTTTACCAGGTCTCGGTGTATAAAAACCTCGTTTTCCGGGTTGGTAGAAAAGTGGTGCATTATCATCCCCATCATCTGTATCATCTAATTCCATGTCTACTACACTGCGGCTGGAACCATGTCGCTTTCTATTTTCCTGTTTTGAAAATCAGAACAGCAATTAACAAACATACTTCTAGTTACAGACACATGTGAACAAGCTATTTGCTACTAGGCCCAAAGATTCAAGTTCCATTGGTTAAGAATTTCCATGATATTTCCTAATGGCAACAGTTTCTACTTTTGAGTAATTACTGCTTAATCTTTTCAAGAGAAAAAAAGAAATTTAAAAAAAAAGATAACTCCACAAGATAATTCCTGCGTGATAAAGGAAGGTTTTTAAAATTAACTGATACAACTGGATCTTAAGTAAATTTAATTTGTGCAACTGTTCATTACCTGCACTTTATCTGAAGAGTCTAGCAATCCAAGATCCAATATACTGTCAGCACCATTCTCCCTTGACAAGGGGAGAGAAAAAAAAGGCAGATTTAATTTCACAATAAGGAATTGTCATATTCTGAAACCAAACAGATGAGATTAAACCGAAGTCAGTAAGTCACTTGTCCAAAGAAAAATATCTAGAACAAAGCAATGAATAGGTTGCATGTATCAGAGTTAGATGTTGCACAGTACATCTGCTTTGCCCACAAAATCAGTTTTCATTTCTTATCCAAATCCTTGATACTTTACCTGCCATGTGCAATAATAAGTTCCATTGCTTCATCAACTCTTGCTCTAAGGGAATCTTCACTAGCTAGTAACAGAAGCAGCTGAGCAGGGGACAATTCCAACAACATTCCTGTGATTTTACTCGCAAATGCCTGGGGATAAAAAAATGATATGTCTTACTGTTCTCTTCCAGCTTTCTCCTTTTCAAATATGATTTCATGAAACTTTTAATATTTTAAATATAGAATGCATTACAACATACCTCCTAAGCTAAATGACAAATTACAGAAACAAAAACTTGAGAAAATTACAAAAATATAAGAACAGCCCTACATGTTCAAATAGTTTGTTATGTTGTACAATAATAAACAAATAGATTAATTTTTTAATTAGAAGATGACAAAAACGATGTATCATTAAGTGCATTAGATAAGTAAGTCTTACTGGTTGCATTGCTTGCACTCGAGGGTACAGCCTTTCTCCAAGGGCTTGTCTGTGTGCTGGAAGAGGGTCAGGGTCATCGCTAGGATTTCCTTCTGACGCTGGTCTAAAAGGCCGTGTGTCAATGGAAAGTTGTCTTCTAAAGTCCCTTAAGAAAATTAGAGCAGTTTGTACTCATTTCAGAGGAAATATGTGAAATTCCTCTGGAGCAGTATTGTGTGCACACAGATTCAAAATAGCATTAGCTTTTATGCTGGAATAGTAGTGTTGCTCATAGCTGCTTGGAGAGAATGATTCAGAATCAGAGAATCAAAAGGAACCAGAGATTTTAATACTACTAGTATTTTGGATACAGCAGTCAGACATGCCACCAACAGCAATGGTGTTTCTAAACCACCTCACATTTTTATTCTAGTACAGAAGATTTTTTCATTCTTTTAGCAAGAGAGATTGATGGCATATGGTTGAGACATAATCAATGCTAAAGCAAGCATACTTATTCTTTAAAGAATTAAAGTATATGTTGATTTTCAAGAAATTACCCTGTAAATTGCTCCTGAAGGTGAAAAAGACACCTTTGAGGAAGTAAAAGTATCTTTCCTGACGATAACCGAGGCAATTATTCTATTTGACAAAGTATGTCCAACAAATTAAAAATATATCACTTACCTATCCCTATCTCTCCGAGAACCAGCTCGTAAGCCACTACTTCTCCGCATTTCTCTCTCTCGCTCCCTTTCCCGATCTCTCTCTCCCCTATTTCGCAATCTCTGCATCAGACCTGAAGGGGAACAAACCTCATAAGCTTAAATATCTTTATATTTCTCTCTCCTACCTAAGTCTCAGTGTAAGGATGACACAGTTTTGGAAGATAGCTTGAAAGACACCAATGAGACAGAACCACATCACTTAAAGTAGCTACTGGGGTTCAGCCAAACTTAAGAAAGGAACCTGAAGTGTTTGTACCAACTTACAAATGCCAGAATACTTCAAGAGTTTATATATGCTTTCAAAAACATTAAAATGTATTTGTGACCAAACAGACAGAGCAGTAATATTAAAATATATAAGCTCTTACTAGCTAAAATCTTCATAATTACTACCACCTACTGGAGAGGAAGACGCTCAAAAAAGCTGAGAGCATCTACAGCAGACTCTTGTTTTGAGAAAAACAAGAGTTTCCTGTTTCTAAAAGCAGGAAAAAAGCCCCTTCCTTGCCTCAGAGAAGTAACATGCACAATTTTCACAGTTCCTGTGCTGAGCTAACAAGAGAAATCTGAGACGGTGCCCAGTATTTCAGTGTAAAAAAGCATCCAAGGCTTTTATGAATGTTATCTGTATATTAACTGCTGTGCGTCACTTACTTGTATGGGTACCCTTGTTGGCATTCTGAATACAATCTAGATTTGGCAGTTTCTCATTTGACAGAAAAGCCTGTGCAATAGCAGTGTAAAAGCTTCGTGCTACACCGCTGCCTTCTCCTGGCTCATCCTTAAAAGTAACTTTTACTCTGTGTACAGCCATCGGAGTGGTAGCACACCTGCGACCAAAATGATTGTTGAGCTGCCTCATGGTCTGCTGAATTAGAAGATCTCGGTCTCGATCAACCTAGTAAAAACACAGAAAAGTTTTCTTTTCTTTACCAATCATCATACCAAAAGAATTTCGGCTTCACAAGAAGTTTCTGGACACTTCTGCATAGACTCAGAAAATATCAATTAGACTATGAAAAATTACACAGTAACTGCAACATAGTTCACAAAGTAAGGTTTAAGACACCTGCTTGCAGACTCTGAAATACAACTTCTCCTATCAAGTTGTTGCAATGTGCTATAATTCAATTTTTAATGAAAACAAATTCAGAAGATAAACTAACATTTTTTACCTCCAACGTTAAATCCCTGGATTGCTGGTTTCTAAGTTTTTCCATCTCCCTGCGGAATTTGGATTCCTTTACTTCAAAGCCACCTAATTCAGTCAAGATCTTAAAATAAAAAAATAAAATTAAAAAAAAAAACAAACCACAAAACAAACAAAAATTAGAATGATGAGGGAGGTTCACAATTTAGTTGTAAAAGAAACTGTCCTCACACTGGGAAATACATACCGATCCAGGCTCTGCTCCAACATCTTCCATGAATACCCTACCAAACAACTCTAAAGAAAGGCGCCAACGTCCCAGCAACATGTCATGAGATATAACCATGCCCATGAAGCTACACTGTGGCCTGACAGAAGGAGAGAAAAAAAATGAGACATAAGCAAAGTCAAGTTAAATTTCAGACACATTGTGTGTAATTCTGCTTTTTCTTACTCTCTGCTTTCAAGTAAGTTCTTTTTTTCTGATCAACAACACAGTACAGTAAGTTTGTGGAAGAAAGCACATGAAACTGTTTAGTTTCAGCTGAAACACAAGTATTGCTTCCAAAGAGAAATTACTCTCAAAGCACGTAACTTCACTGCTATATGGAATTCACTGTTTAAAAGAAGCTGTAATTCAAAGTGAGGGCAGTTCAATTCTGAACTGCATAAAGTGCAGTCAGTATTACCAGGCACAGATAGCAAGCTGTCAATTCCAATTTTTAAACTTAGCTACCCAGGACATCATAGTAGGTCTGTAGCAGGAAGTCAGGTAGTAAAGGAATTTTACTACAGTTTGCACAGACCTCTTTGAAGACTGTTCAACTGTTCATTTTAAAAACTATCCAACACAAACTCCAAATGCAAACTAAAGTAAGCTACCCATTTTAATATAAAAAGACTTTGCAGAGTCCCAAATATCCTTTTATTGGTTCAGAAATATTTCACTGAGTAATTTTTAACTCAAACTACCTGAAAGATGTGAGGGGTGGCCCTTCACTTTCTGTCAATCCTATCTCTGCCAACAAGCTGCTTTTCAGTTGTGCTGCAAGATCATGAGCTGAAGGCCCTGGCTTTGAACTCTCAGATTCTTCTGTAGGCACATTTTGTTCCTCCCCTTCCTTCTTTTGCCGATTTTGCATGCTCATAACATTTTTTAAGTTGGCTGCATAAGACATTTTAGTTGGAAGAACCTAAACAAGGAGAAGTAAAATTTAATTGCACTTTCAAAGCAGTCTAGAAGGCTTTTTCAGGAGAAACATATATACACACACACACTTAATTAATTTTCAAACCACATGAAAGTGAGCACTATAATTTTCCTGTTAAAACACAGTAACGTCAATTATTTCAACAAAAAAAAAACAACCAACATTTTTCCACTTTACGTTTGCATTTCATATGCTTGCCATTTAATGCCCAGTCTATAGGCAAGTCAAATCTACTGGGCTATAGGGAGATTTAATTCTTTTTATCACAAATAATTACATAATTGGCATTTCAAAATTAACTCCAAACTGTACTGCAGCCTTTAAAAATATTTCAGGCCTTTAAAAATATTGCCTGAAATCCACTATAAATCAGTAATCGTAAAAGTTCCTGCATTAAAAAAAAGCATATTATTTTTCATAAAAAGTCCAAGTCTTCACACTTACTTGGCTTTTAAATTATCATTCTGAAAGCTACTTAAAATTCTCTCAGAAAACATTACAGTGTCTTTTTAAAGAATTAAGGTATTAGGTTAAATTACCCCACTGTTTAAAATAATAAAACCTTTAAATCTACCTCAAGGCAGTTTCTATCCACTGTAACTTCCATTAAGCACTTCCCGCTGTTGGCAGAAGATGAATACAGACCCTGACTTGGTCGGCCAAACAGATCTTCTTTGCGAGCATTTGGCTGAAAATTAATAGAAGCATTCTGGGTAAATAATATACTTCAGTTAGAAATGAAAAACCGAACTGCAGTTTTCTTCCAGAACACCATCTCTGATGTCACCTGTAATAGATGGGGCTGGTCTGCCAGGGGGATGGCCTCTGCCAGAGGAACCTCAAAAGGATTGGGTGGAATGCAGCCAAGGAACGTCATAGAGTCCGATCGTCTGAAAAACGGATGGTTTTGGCCAGTCTCTGCTGGGAGGGAGTCATCATCTTTGTCATTGAGTGTAGCACCTAAATATCAGAGAAGATTTCAATTCAGTTTTTAGTTACAAAAGCAAAGGATGTAAAATACCGAAGTTAATACACTTCCCTTTTAGCTCTCTGACTACGGGAGCATCTCTGCAAATTTAATACTTCTACAGGATGCATCCACAAATCCCCTATTTTTATTAAGTTGCTTAGTCATCATTTTCATTCTTTTTACTGTAACTAACTTTACTGAACATGCACTCCTACACTATATGTACTTAGTATAGAGTACACATTCTACCATTTTCATCTGCAGTTTCATCAGATCAAAAAAATCAGTTTAACTCTGATTCAGATTTTAAATTCTGTCATTGTGGAGAATGGTAAGTAAGGGCACAGATTCAGCAGTTTAGAGAGAAGGGAGACAAAAAGAGGGCCCCAAAACGAGAACAGGCAATGGGAGAAGTGTGATAAAGTCACAATGGTAAGAAAATCTTTCTAAAGCCCAAATTTAATGGAACATATACAAATAGCAAAATTTATTCAAAGTCTTAGCTAAAGGGGAAAAAATTCTAAGAAAGTGTTGCATTTTGGCATACTACAGAAGTATTTCTGTATACTAACTTTGATTGGTGTCATCATCATTTTCATGTTCTGAATCTTCATTGTCAAGGCCCAGTTCCAAAAGTTCCCGAGTTCTTAAAAACCAAAGAAGAAAAAGAAAGAGTCAATCCTCTTGAAGAAAACATTAGGCAAAACATTTACACCTGTAGCAATCAAATAAAGCAAGAGTATAATCAGTAAGTGTACTGGAGACCTATACATAACTAGAACAAACTCACTCTAAACTTGAAGTAACTCTAGTGTACTCCTCATCACATATTCACTCACGACATTACTTGCACAGTTACCCTTATAGCCATTTGGCCACCTACCAAGTTTGATCTAAAAAATTACAGCTTCAGACAGTGATGGGTATGCTTATTTTTAAAGACAATATATGAAAAATAAAGTCAATATAAAAAAAAACTAGCAACCCTGCATTACTGGAAGAAATACATACACGAATACTATTCTAAAATTTACTGGTGTAGAATATGCTTAGTCTTATAAAAATAATGTCACTGATAACATTTCAGAAGGTAAGTCTGCAAGCTGCACAGTAGAGACATGGATTCCACTGTATTATACAAAGGATCAAGAACTTTGATCAGTATTCATTCCTAGCAGTTTGTGCATTGTGAAATATGTTCTGAAACTAGACGACAATCAATAAAATTTTGTTTCATACAGGTTACTAAAGTGTCATCTAACAGAAGCAACTGACTGTTTGAATTTGGAGAAAAAGTCTTCTGAGGAGCGGCTGAGGGAACTGGGGTTGTTCAGTCTGGAGAAGAGGCGGCTGAGGGGAGACCTTATTGCTCTCTACAACTACCTGAAAGGGGGTTGTGGTGAGGTGGGTGTTGGTCTCTTCTCCCAAGTAACTAGCAATAGGACGAGAGGAAATGGCCTCAAGTTGCACCAGGGAAGGTTTAGACTGGATATTAGGAAAAATGTCTTTCCTGAGAGAGTGGTCAAACACTGGAACAGGCTGCCCAGGGAGGTGGTGAAGTCACCATCCCTAGGAGTGTTAAAAAAAAAAAATGTGTACACGTGGCACTTCAGGACATGGTTTAGTAGGCTTAGTGGTGTTGGGTTGATGGTTGGACTTGATGATCTTAAAGGTCTTTTCAAACCTTAATGATTCTGTGATTCTGCAATTTGAACCACTAACCTTTAACTGAAAAGGTCTAGGCCTTGATAGTTTTATAAGCATTTCATGGGAATTTTGCAATTTTTTGATGAACAGTTATTTGACAGGATTTCAATATGTGAATTTTTGGGTACAAAGCAGATTCCAGAAATACGTTATTGCATCAAAAAGGCTTAAAGCCACAGCTCTAACTACTCAAGTTGGCCAGCAAAAAAACTCAATCAGTTACTGTATTAAATAAATCATCTCGTGCTTGGGAGGAAACTACTGTTGACAACAACATCCTCTGGTATACATTTTGAGGTTATAACAAGCCTTACGTTACCAAAATATATTGAACATAACATTGGAACTAAAACAACAGTCCAATATATATCTAAAATATCAATATCTCGTATTTTACAGTTACTAAATTGGTAAAGAAAAGAAAAAGTTAGGTTCCTAATACCTGTGATATTGAAAGTTAGGGGCAGGAAGGGGCAAAGACTTGCATTTATTTAACTGTTGACTAGGACTGTTCAGGTACATTACTCAAAATTTAGTAAGAAATAGGAACAGATGGTGTAGACTACCAGTATGTGGACATTTCTATCATCATTAATTGCCATTTCAAATCAAAGTGCACTTCTAAAAAAAATAAAAGAATCTTACAACATTTTAAAAAGTAATAAATGCACCTTGTAAAATGCTACAGCTGAAGTAGCAGGGATTTTCAACTTAAGGACATTTTCAGCTATTGATTTCCCTACTGTGCTTTAAATCATCAGATAAGTCTCAAATATCCACAGGATACTGCAACAGGTGTATCAAACATACGTACGTTATATACCATTACAGATATTCTTTTTATAATAGGCATGTTACTACACACACACATAGATATATAGATATATATGTATATAAGTTGCTGAGTAACAATGCTAATGACTGAAACAAAAGGGCATTCGCCACTTTTGCAAAACTTTTTGTATCTATGAGTCAGCGTCGGTACCTTTTCCGTTCCAGCTGAGGAGTATCCAATGTTGTCTGTTGATTCATTGCTTTAATCCAATAAATAAGGGCTTGAAAAACATATGCTACGTGCTTTAGTGAACAGACATCTAGAACAGGAAGAACATCTGAGTGCTCATCATTGTGAGAACGCATCAAAGACAGCGCGTAGTTCAGGAAGTCACCACGTGCTGACATCATTCCCTGACGGGCACTGAGTAAAGTAGCACGCCTAGTGAAAGAAAAGGATTGAATATAGAGAGATTAGGGATCACAGTAGAATGCATCCTTTACACATCAGTCTCTATATGTGAAATATGGATGTAAAAACTCAACCCCCTCTCCCCAGAAGAGTGTGATAATAAGGATAACAATCATACTTTTTTTACGCTTTATTAAAAGCGGCTCAGGTGCAGTATATTAAAAACAGTTAATACTTGAGATGAATCTAGTACTTCAGAATAAACCAAATAGTAGTAACAACACAGGAAGCCAGCTTAAATCAAAACAGTAACTACCCTGCTACGTTACAAAATTAGATTCCTAAAATGTCAGCGAACAAGATTTGACTGTAAAACTGGTAATTCATATCACATGCAGTAGCCAAACTATTTTCATACCTTCTTCCCTCGAGTGTTCTTAAGCTAGCTTCCTCACGGGCTGTCATCCTTTCCCTTCTGGCTGAGTTCTGAGAAGCATGGAGAGGATGATTTGGATGCCCAGGATCACCAGCAGATGCTAATGCAGAACCATAACGCAGCTGAGCTTCAGTAGAGTCCATGATACTAACCATCCAATTCCATGTAGGAATAAGCTTTTCCTCTACGTAATTCTATAGAAAATGAGATTTAATGAGTTTTCCAAACAACAGAACTAGATTATAAGAATGCAATCTCAACGTAAGCCTCCACCATGGCTTTTAACAGTTACACCTGATTCTCTACAAACAAAAGAGGCTGTAAAACCACACTCAAGAATGACCAATGAACATTTTCCAAAAGCTCTATTGAGACTGCTGATTTACTGTAGTGGTATGCAGCTCTCATCACTTAATACCTTGGTGTCTGTTGAGCATTTTCACCACCTCTCTTCCCCTTTTGGGCATCTCTTCTACTCCCCACCTTATGACCACCCAGCATCTGCCAGGTGCCACACATCTTGGGGATTTTGGTCCACTTTCTGACTTCCTAGTAGCTTTAACAGCCCTCATCCTGCTATGGCATCCACCAGCCAGATCTTTCACCACTCTTCACCCCTTGCAACCTACTCAGTGAAGATGACAAAGTTAAGACCTGTATAGAGAACTATGTCTGCATATAAATCTCTCCTCCTGGTCCAGTCTTTTCTTTGCCTGTTTCCAACACGGGCTCTGGAGCTTGCTTTTCTTGCTGTTTGCTAACCCCATTGACCTGTTGCGGTTTTTTTGATCCAACAGTCTGCCTTCTTCATTCCTCTACATTCTGGTCTTCAAAAACATCCCTCACACTTCAAACGTTCTTGTATTCACTAAACTAACAAAATACTGTCTCAACCCTGTTTCTGTACCCCAGTGAAACCTCTGCTGTCAAGCTTTCATGTGCTAATACAAATCTCTTGCTGCCTCAGCTGGAGAGCTCTCCCCTGCACTCATCTGGCAAAAAGGTAACCTTTGCAAAACATCTCTACTCAGCAGAGACAATATTTTCCCACTAAGAATTTGAGCAGTACAGAATAGAAACTGATTTTAGCCTCCTCCATAATAAAACTGTGTTTTCATATTTATTCCTCTGCATATTTCCCCCAGTGTTTAATCCCCAAATATTTTTGTAAAGTTCCTCTCCCAAATCTGAAGTCTTTTTCTTCCATCGCACTGTGAAAAACAGAGCCATAGAAATACTTTATGGCTCAATTATAAGTAAATATATTGTCACCCGGTTTTCACATCGTAGCACACAGTACTACTAACAGAAAACAGCATCACTTGACTTCTTGGGCTGCCCAAAGCAGCAGTATTATTCTGCCAGTTGATTTTTGTACTAAATTCAGTACAGATGATTTCACTATACATGCTATGCCCACATGCAAGTTGATACATAGTTTCTGAACACACTGAAGTTCCTCCCGTGTTTAGTTAGTCTCTGAAACTTCTTTCTAGACATGCCAGATACCAGTCTTCCCCTTCATGTATTTTCTCTAAAGATGCATTTTACATATACTTCAAAAACTGACAGTCAAGAGCACTGTACCAAAAAATATGCATGTAACAGGGAAAGGATGATCATGTCCCTGAAAGAAGGGACAGCAAACAGTATATTTACCTGTACAAATCTTTTATCTTATTTAATTATTTGGCCCTTACTAACCTTCTTCTTTTATAGACTCAACAGTTCACATCAAAAAGAATAGGGCAAAAGATCTCTAGAAGAGATCACTAGTATCTCCAAAGCAGTCAAACCTGACTTAACTATTAATTAGATACCAGTCAGACTTAGCTGGGGTGGAGGGCAATAAACTGAAATTCCTTTTTTGAAAGAATTTATGTATACAAAATATGAACAATTTAATGGAATTGGTAACTACAGCTACTTCAGCCTACACTACCTCTCATATGAGGAGACGCTGAGAGAGCTGAGACAGTTTAGATTCAAGAAACAAACTCAGGAGGATCTTATCAGTGTGTATAAATATGTGATAAAAAGGTATAAAGTTTACAGAGCCAGGCTCTTCTCAGTGATATCCAGTGAGTGGACAAGAGGCAATAGGCACAAACTGAAATACTTCGAAACTCCATTTGAACTCAAGAAAACACTTTTTTACTACGAGAGTTGTCAAACACTTAACAGGTTGCCCAGAGCAGTTGTGGAGTCTTCATTCTTGGAAATACTCAAAACCTAACTGGACATAGTCCTGAGCAGCCTTCTGTTGACCCTTGCAGGGAATTTGGACTAGACAATCTTCAGAGGTCACTTTCAACCTCAACAATTCTAAGATTTTACCTAAAAAACCCCAACTGTATTGAAATTATGTTTCTCTACAGAGATTTGAATGTTCTTACCTGCAAGTTAACTGCATCTTGGTAAGTCAGCTTCACTGCAGCTGGGATCTGGGAGTACACTAAATGATTGTACTTGGGAATCAGACCCATCAGATCAGATATCTGCCGTATCACAATACTGTATGCTCTTGCTAAACTGCTTGCAGACGTTAAATAGCTGCTTGCATTGCTGGCTTCAAGTGCTGCTGCTGCTGCTGCAGCACTCGTACTGATGGTACCACTCCGACGTAGGTTTGATGGATCAATGTAAATCAAGCCCGCTGAACTTGCTAAACATAAAAGAAGGTATGACATTAATGAATTTATTTAACCTTTGCTACATATTTGCTGTATTGACTGGTATAATGAACATTTCTAGAAATAAACTCGTAAACATTACTGACATCGCAACTGTAACTAGCAAAAAATTACTAGCTACAGCAAGCATACACATATCTTCTTAACAACTGCAACAGATCCTTCCTTTTTTAAATTCAAAACCAGAACTGAACAGTCAAGATAGGTCAGCACTGTCCTTCTAAGACAGGTAGGTAAGATTTCATCCTTAAGAGAACAAACAAAAACAGAGGAAAGAACAAAGCCAGAGTTCACTGACATTCATGCGTGCAATTTACTCAGACTTGCCTGCTGGGGCTGATGTACTAGAAGGAGCAGTGCTAGTAGTCCTCTGGTTTTGGGTATTACGTACAGCCCATTGCATGGAACGGGGAGCTTGGGCAGCACCATTGGCATGTGAGCTATTTGTGGTTCGTTCCAGAGGCTCATCAAGCATGAAGGTCTCCTGCTCTATGTCATCACTCTGACTGCTGCTGCTATCAGAGTCACTGGAATCATTTGATTGAGAGTCATCTTCAGAAAAAAATGCTGGAACACTGCTAGCTCCTATTTAAGAAAATAAGCAATAAACAGTAACTGACAACTGCAGATCTGTCCACATATACATGTATCGTGTCAGCGTTGTAAACTTCTTCCATGAGAAGAAACTACATGTTACTAAAATGGTTCACGTACCACTATTGAAAATCTTTAATAAATTATCCTGATAACATACTGCTAATTTTCCATAGGTTTCACGAAAAAGCAGTAAGATTACTTAAATTTCAAAAGATGAATTAAGAAATAATTTGATTTAAAAATTCTTCACTGTTTCTGCCCCCAGGCAATGAATTCAAAAATTATGCTTCTAAACTGGACAGTAGAGCAGTTGCTTTCAAAAAGCCTTAAAATGATTGGTCAGGTTTTGTGTTTTGTTTAAAGCCATATCTAACTTCTACACTAAAAAATGAGTGAAAACATTTCATTTAACTTCACAAGAGTACACAGTAATCTCTGGCTAACACACACAGAAGCTCCATAAGAGCAAAAAAGATAGGCCACATCTTAGCGCATCTCCTTGTCCAAAAAGTCTGCACAGTACCTTACAATTACAGACAAAGGAAAAGCAAAGGAAAAAACAGGAAAGATGGGGAAGGTGGAGGTGGGAGGGAAGAAGCTGGGTGAAGAGAAAAAATAAAGAAAGGGAAGATAAGATTCCAAGAGAAAGGTATTCATTAAGATGTCATAACCAGGTAATTCTTGCTCTGTTCAATCTCGTTGTGAAGTAATTTCTCCAGCATATCTCTGGAGTGCTGGATGCAGTCCAGATCCAAAGGCAAAGAATAATACTTTTTAGGTGAAGCCAGTTCTGCCCTTCTTAAAGCCATATTCAGTTACTAATACATTTCCTTCTCCTGTACAACTTAATCCTAATATCTAAATTTAAATAGCTAAATTAAACACAGGATAATGTGACATACCTGCTTCTGACCCAGCAGTAGCTGCAGTGACAACACTTCTGCGCCCACTAGCATTGTCCTGATTACTGTGGTTACTCTCACTGTCACTTTCTGTTTCAGCAGCAGCTAGCAAATCCAACTCCATATCACTGCCTAGGAAAACAATACACAAAACATCTCATACTTAGAAAGCAAAAAAAATAGAATGATTGTAGTGACTCATGTAAGACATATAAAACAAAGCCCTGATCCTCTTACTACAGAAGTTAATGGATATGCAGGGAGAGGTCATAAAAGCAGTGCAAACATGCAGCAATACTTGGAGCGTATTTTCTTATTTTCCAGTAATTAGCAACCCCTAGCCCTCTCACTCAGTACTGCACATATATATTCAATACACACACACTGAAAATTAAGACTTTAAGGATTCAGAATTAGTCACTGAAGCCAAAAGACTCCACAACTCTGCACGCACATGTATGAGGACAATTAATCATATGCTGTTTCAAATTAATATCTAAGGAACACCTGAAAACTTTAGAAAAAACATGTAATTAAAAAATACAGGTCCTTTCGAAGTTTCAGTTTTGAGAACTAAGTGTTCTGAGTACTCAGCAAGTGAATAAACACATTTCCTGTACTGTAAATGGGTTGACTGGAAACACAAGGCACAGAAAGAGAAGATAATTTTTTTTTAAATCATAGCTTTGGGCCATCTAATCCCAAGCTAACTAATACAACACAAGTCATATTAATGGCAAGACTATTCATACATAATGGATTAGTTTTGTCTACAAAATACTGAACTGTAATTTAATATTTTGTGATTGGTTTGAAAACTAGCTCATCATGATTCAGATCCCTTTTGAGAACACATCTACCATAACTGCTACTCTGTCATTAGCTATACAAGAGCTAAGCTATTTTTTTAATCCTTCAAGTAGTTTATGTCAACATTTTACAGTAGCAAATACAAAAGGTAAAATAGATATTGTTAACCAAGCATATAATAACATTTGGTTTGGGGTTTTTTTGTCCTTCGGGTACCTTAACATTTTCTTCTCATGCAAAAAGAGAAAAATAAAAATATTCATGTACTTGCCTACTACAAGTTATCTATAATTTTACTAATCTCTTTTTGTAAGATGCACAGTCTGAAAGCCTTAGATTCTCTCTACTCATGTAAGCCTCCCAAATCATTATCATTAGTGACTCCAAAGATGCCTTTTGGTTTTGATGCACGGTTTGTTCATCCAAGCAGTAATGTGCATGATATACATTATACGTACCATCTTCATCGTGCTCATCATGCTGGCCTTCTGCTTCAGCATTTTCTTCACCATGTTCTTCCTGTTCATCATGATGGTCTTCTTCACCAGCTACCCCCTCAACCACCTCAACCTGGAAAGAGCATTGTAATTTTATGCTAGAATATCAAAGATAATCTACATACTTTAAAGAACTCTGCGCAAAACTTGATTTAAAAACTAAGAAACAAAAACACACATGTAAGAAAGGTGACCTCACAACTGAACTGACGTGAACAGAAAATGAACTTACAGCCGCAGTAGTTGTAAATGATTGTATAGTCCACAGTGTTGTGGAAAAAAAAAATCAGGCCCATAGCCTTGGACATTAGATTTTAATGCTGAAAGGATAAAACTGACTATAAAACCTAGAATTAGTTTCTAAATATTGACGACCTACCATCCTGATTTCCTTCTATGACCAGATGACCCACCTAGT